GCTGGGAGCTGCACCCTGGGGGTCCGTGCTTGTGCCAGCCTGTGGGAAACGGGGGGCTGCCCCGAGCCCTGCCGTGGGGGCCAGCTCCTGAGCCTCCACCCACCCCGAGCTGGCCGGGAGCCACAAGCAAACATCCTCCGGACGTTTGGGAAGAGCCTAATTGCTGGGGAAAGGAAGGGCCACAGGCGGGGCATGCTCGGGGGCTCTTCCTCCCCCCCTACCCCAACCCCCAGGTGCAGCAGAACAAGCCACATCCCCTCGTGCCTCAGTTTCCCCCTTCGGTGCAAACGCGAGGCCCCAACCCCAGCTGAGTCACCCACATGGTTATTTTGACAAGCGGCTGGAAGCAGGAGGGAGCGCTCTCCCAGGACAGCCCCCACCCAAGCGGGGCCCCAAATTTAAACAACCCACCTACGACCTCACCGAGGGGGGGGTTGGAGGAGAAAGCCAACACCACCAGCACCACCGGCCATGGGAGACGGGAGGAAGGCACAACACCCCATGGCAGAGCGGGCAAGCAAGCCGGGCACAATTTGGGGCCAAATCATCATAATTGGAGGGGGGAAAGGGGTTGAGGCATGAGGGCCCCCATGCGTGAAGCCGTGCCCCAGAGGCCACGTGTCACCCCGTGCACCCATGGGATGTCTGGCCCCGGCTGCCACCCCTCCGGCCGGGGGAGGCCTTGTGCAAGCGGTGCCCGGCCACCTTCCCTTCCCTTCCCAGCCCCGTCGGGTAGGCAGGGTTATAATTAACCTCCTCACATCCTGCTCGATGCACTGAGTCACTCCTCTAGCAAAACCCCAGCAAATAAAGGAAAAGCTGCTTTTTTTTTTTTTCAGCAGTCACCAACTTCCCCTGCCAGCCAAGCTCGCCCCACACCCGGTGGCACGGCCAGCACCCCAACCCAGCGGGGACAAAAAGGCTGCTGGGCTGGATGTCACCTCTCCGGGTGGCACTACCCCAAAAGTCATGCCACCTTCTTCCCCGGGGGGCTGAAGATCCCCCACTCCCCCTGGCATGGGTGGCGTGAGCCCGGCGGCCAGCGGCCGGACACCCTGCCCATGCCCGGGCACAAGGAACCCCTTGAACAATCCTGTTTATGGAGAGGTTTTTTTTTTTCCTTTTACATCTACGTAAAGGTAAACGGAGAATCCCCGAGCAGGCTCCCCCCCGAGCAGCCTTCAAGGGGTTCAAAGAGCCGATTCTTGTTCTCTGCGCGTCCCAGGACACGGGGTATTTTCCAGGCCGGTAGCCAGACGGTTGCCTCGGTGGGTGGTGCATCTGCCTTCAAAGGCCAGCGTGAGCTCCAAACGGGCCAGGAGCTGCTGGGGACCCACGGCCCTGCAGAAGCTCCCACCACCAAGGTGGGTGCCCCTCACCCCGGGATGGGTGCCAGCCACCCCCCCCATCCTACACATCTGCAGGGAGCGGGGCTGCCCCGGCACCCACTTTCCCCCCCCCGCTTCACCTTGCAAGAGACAGAGAAGCAAGTAGAATGACACGATGGTGTCCAAACCGGGACAGTTTCACCCCAAAAAGCCCTCCGGGTGCCCACTGGCTGTGCCCGGGGAGGGGGGGGAACCACACGCACAACCGGGGCGCTACCGGAGAAGTTACAGCGTTTCCC